TAGAGCATCAGCCTGTGGACTGAAGGGTCCCGGGTTTGATTCCGGTCAAGGGCACATGCCCAGGTTGCAGCTGGATCCCCAGTAGGGGGCGTGCAGGAGGCAGCCGATTGAGGTGTCACTCTTACATACATGTTTCTCTCTCTCCCACTCCTTCCTCTCTCTCTAAAAATAAATAAAAGAAAATCTTTAAAAATAAAGAACACTGTGGTAGGAAGAGAAATAGCGAAGCAAACAGAGGTAGATGGCATCAGAGGCCTACATTTTTTTAAAAATATATTTTATTGATTTTTTACAGAGGGGAAGGGAGAGAGATAGAGAGCCAGAAACATCGATGAGAGAGAAACATCGATCAGCTCCTCCTGCCCCCCCCCACTGGGGATGTGCCGCAACCCAGGCACATGCCCTTGACCGGAATCGAACCTGGGACCTTTCAGTCCACAGCCGACGCTCTATCCACTGAGCCAAACCGGTTTTGGCCAGAGGCCTACATTTTAAGTGCACACTCTCCTCTTCAAAACAGGATGTCTCATTTATTGCTTCTAATTGTGACTCCTTTCAAGCCCCATACTCCACACATTTATCCATTTGGGACCCTTTTTTTTTTTTCTTTTCACTTTTCTCCTAAATCAGTGGTTCTCAACCCTGCTGCACATGAGAATCACCTGGGAATCTTCTGAAATCCTGATTCTGGGCGTCATCCTCCTGAAATCTGCTTCTTTGTGATGGGGTGGGGCCACAACATGAGTAACAGAGAAACAGAATTTCCGGAGGATGAGGCCCAGAAATTAGGATTTTATTTTATTTTTTATTTTTTTAAATATATTTTATTGGTTTTTTTACAGAGTGGAAGGAAGAGGGATAGAGAATTAGAGACATCAAAGAGAGAGAAACCTCAATCAGCTGCCTCCTGCACACCCCCTACTGGGGATGTGCCCACAACCAAGGTATATGCCCTTGACCGGGAATCGAACCGGGGACCCTTCAGTCCGCAGGCCGACGCTCTATCCACTGAGCCAAACCAGTTAGGGCCAGAAATCAGGATTTTAAAAAGATTCCCAGGTGATTCTAATGTGCAGCCAAGGTTGAGAACCACTGTCCTAAATCCTTAAAGGTCCCCGACCCTGAGCAAACGCCTGCCACCTGGCCTGCCGGCTGCAGCCACACCTGAGTGCAAACGAGGCTGGTCCGATCCATGTGCGCCGGGCCCTGCGGGCTCTCAGTGCGTGTCCTTGACCCAGGCTGGCCAGCCCTCTCCATATCAATGAGAACCTGGCGCCCGGACGCAGAGTCTAATTCCATTCCTGTGCTTTCGCAGAAGAGGGCTGAGGGACAGGCGGCTCCTTTAAAGAGACTGAAAGGCATGTGCCTCGTTCAGACTGCACCCAACGTGTCAACTGCAGGGTGTCTCAAGCTCGGGCTGGCTGGACGGAGATCCCCAGGGAAGGGCAGTTTGATTTCAGGGAAAAATGACAGCACTACACAAGGAGTAGCCAGACACTGTTTATATTTATCTTTAAAATCCCACCAGTGTCTCTCAGGCCATACACAGCCTATATCAGCCGTTGGGCAAATTACGGCCCGCGGGCCGTTTGAAATGAATAAAACTAAAAAAAAAAAAGACTGTAGACTGCACCCAACGTGTCAACTTTGAATTTATATTAGTTCACACAAACTGGACGGAGATCCCCAGGGAAGGGCAGTTTGATTTCAGGGAAAAATGACAGCACTACACAAGGAGTAGCCAGACACTGTTTATATTTATCTTTAAAATCCCACCAGTGTCTCTCAGGCCATACACAGCCTATATATTCAGTTTACCACCACCATGCCCAATATTTTTAAGACTTTGAATGGTAAGCCCTGGCTGGTGTGGCGCAGTGGATAGAGCACTGGCCTGCTGACTGAAGGGTTCCGGGTTCGATTCCCGGTCAGGGCACATGCCCGGGTTGTGGGCTTGATCCCCAGTAGGGGGCATGCGGAGGCAGCCGATCCATGATTCTCATTATTGATGTTTCTATCTCTCTCTCTCCTTTCCTCTCTGAAATCAATAAAAATACTTTAAAAAAGAGTTTGAAAGTAAGAGGGAAATGAGTCTCCATTTAGTTCAGATATGATATGGATAGGAAATTGACAAATACTTCCAGCGCTACAAAGCCACCCCTTTTAACTACAAATTCAATTTAGTTGGGTCAATTAATTTGTATTTATTCAAAGAGGTAAATTCTTTTACCATCAAGTTCCTTGTGATGTAAAAAGAGAAAAATATTCATCTGTAAAATCAAAACGCTCGCTCCTAAATATGATGTGCTTTCAAAAGCACCTTGTTAACACATTCAAATCTGGGGATGGGCAAAAACATAGGCAGTTTTCATGACTCTAAGGCAGTGGTTCTCAACCTTCAGGCCCTTTAAATACAGTTCCTCATGTTGTGACCCCACCATAAAATTATTTTCGTGGCTACTTCATCACTGTCATGTTGCTACTGTTATGAATCGTCATGTAAATATCTGATATGCAGGATGGTCTTAGGCGACCCCTGTGAAAGGGTCGTTCGACCGCCAAAGGAGTCTCGACCCACAGGTTGAGAACCGCTGCTCTAAGGTATAGCTACGTGTGGAAGGCGGCTACAGTGTTTGGACAGGTTCAAGCCTCGGACTGATGAGAGGGCACAGTCCTCTCGTGGCCTCGTGCAAGTCCCAGCTGGAGGGCAGGGCCTTCCCAGCACAATTATAGCCAACAGCTATGGTTGTGAGCTTGAACCTATGGTCCGAACACGTGCCTGAGTGATAGAGTTCAGGTGCATATAGTTGAGTTGTGGACTGAAACCCACAAGAATGCTGTAAACAACGTGATCACGCCCCTACTTTGCCTCGTGGAATCTGCTATAAAATAAAGACCCGGCTTGTAGGCGCCGGCGCTGTCCATCAGAGGGGCAGCGTCCCCCCCACCCAGCTTCCATTCTCTTGTCTGTCTTTTTTTTTCTTTCTTTTAAAATATACTTTTATTGATTTCAGAGAGAGAAGGAGAGGGAGAGAGAGATAGAAACATCAATGATGAGAGAGAATCATGGATCAGCTGCCTCCCGCACGCCCCCCACTGGGGACCGAGCCCGCAAGCCAGGCATGTGCCCTTGACCAGAATCGAACCCGGGGCCCCTCAGTCCGCAGCCCGACGCTCCATCCACTGGCCAAACCAGCCAGGCTTGTCTGTCTTTTCTTAATCCTTTCATTGCCCCCACTCAGGGTCACTGAACCAGGCTGAGCTGGCGTGAGCATGCCATGGCCATGCCGGCTCCCCACAGCTACGCGTGAATTTCCCTTCGTGACAAGAGAACACGTTCATCGGATGAAAAACAGGGCAATGTGCACTTTCCACGGTGATACGCAAAACCGATGCCTGTCTCGTAACTCCCTTATCTTTCTTGTGGCGGCACGCGTCTCGGGCTGAGCCGGGGCCCATAAACCAGGCGGGACTGGATGTGGGCTGACTGTGCGCGATCAGGGAGTGGCTGGGGGATGATCTGTGAAGACTCCACGCACAGGAGCGCCATTTAGACTTAACACCACATGGCCCACAGCTCCTGCACTTGCTGGAGGTCCTGCTCTTACCAAACTACAGTCCCAAGTGGAGTAAGTTCCTCACTGCAGGAACGCTCTTCATGGACATTCAGAGCGGTTACCTCTACACCAGTCTCTGAGGGTGGCCCCCCGCCCCCCGAGCACGACACATCCCATAGCTGAGCCTCCATTCAGTCCCTCCGGCTTCTCCCAGGGAAGCCCTGACCTTCTGAAGCAGGGCTAACTGAACACAAGTCAGCAACAAGAAGCCACGTGATATAACCATCGTCAACATTCAAACTCGAACGTGGCAAAATCTCGGGAAAAATTGGATTGTTTTTTTCCCCCACATAAAACCCGTCTCTCAAAATAAAGAGAGAAAGGAAATGTAGGACATGGCCAGAAGTCTACCAAGGTAAAGGTCTATATATAAAAAAACATTTCAACCTGAAAAGGGACATTTCCTTGCAGGTGTATTTAGGACAGAGCTCCCATTCATTTTTAAAAAAATATATTTAATTGACTTTTTACAGAGAGGAAGGGAGAGGGATAGAGAGGTAGAAACATCGATGAGAGAGAAACATCGATCAGCCGCCTCCTGCACACCTCCCACTGGGGATGTGCCTGCAACTAAGGTACATGCCCTTGCCCGGAATCGAACCCGGGACCCTTCAGTCCGCAGGCCGACGCTCTATCCCCTGAGCCAAACCGGTTAGGGCTCATCTGTGACTTTTCGGTGTAAGAACAGGTGAGGGCCTGGTACTCAGCCTGCCTGCTGGTGCAGAATGACAACCGCAATTTCAAAACTGTACACAGAAACCAGGTAAGGCAGCCGGAGTCCCCGACACTTCACATTTCTAAAGAATCTCTCTGCCTTCTCTCTTGCCTCCTTCAACCCTGGCACCGTGATCCTGTGACATTTCACTGCTGAGCCCAGTCCGGCTCAGCCAGATGCCTCAGCGATGCCAACCCTGCCCAGGTCCCCCGTGACTCCGGGTCCTGGGGGGCCCTCCATTCACCTGGCAGGTAGGTGTGTGTGTAGGGGGGGTGCAAAGCCGCCTCCTCACAGCCACACGGTGTGTGACCTGCGCTCGGTCACAGCTCTCAAGGAGGTCAGCCTCCAGGAGGTATGCACGGCTAGCCTGACAGCGTGCAGGTACTGAGCTTATTAGAGAGAGAAAGAGAGAGAGAGAGCAAAAGAGCGAGCGCACGGTCAAGTTGGAAGATCCTTGCTTCCCACCCACGGATCATTCAATCGGTGAGCAAACCCCGCGGCCCCCCCCCCCCCAAAACGCACGCCAACCGCTCGGAAGCGCGGGGGTGACCCGGGCCCCACGGGCACTCCGATCGCGCCCGGCGATCGATCGATGGAACCGCGTCCACGACTGGTCAGCGACTCGGGGCGACGGGAGAAAAGCAGAAACCGCCGCCGCGGGCTCCTACCTGCAGCGACGCGGTGCAAGCCTCCTCCTCGGGGCCCACCTCTGGCTCTCCCTGCCCCTCGCTTTCTCGGGGAGCTCCTGTCCGCCGCGGGGGACCCCGGCCGGAGCGCAGCAGCGCCGCGCGCCCGAGGAGGGAGCAGCCCCAGACGGTCGGTCGGCGGCGGCGGCAGCAGCGCCCGCAGCGGGATCGGAGGCTCCGAGCTGCAGGCTCAGCTCTGACTCCTCGGTCGGCGGCGCTGCCTGGGATATTAGCGCAGCCTGGGGTTTCTATTGGCTCCGAACACCAAACAGATCGCACCAGCCTCCCCCCTCCCCCTC